CAAAGTAGCAACCAAAAAGATTGGTCGCGAATAGCTTTTGCCGACTAAAAATAGGCTTTTGCCGACCAAATTTTTAGTCGGCAAAAATGCGATTTCTTGCAATGATTGAGCAAGATACATGTATAACAATTAGATGGTGATTAAGCATTGATGAATGCACCTATATATACATAATGTATAGAAGACTAATGGAGATAGTGTCAATGCATTGAATATGATAGATTCATTATGAATGAATCTAGAGATGCATTATGTATCTATTATGAATGTAGAAGTTAATCTATCTAATGAGGTTTATTGAATGGATGGATTCTTTGATGGGAAGATTACCAGTACAAATAGTGTAAGGTCTCAAACCACACTCTCCATCACAAAACTCAAGTTGTCACCACAAAAAGGCTCCCATCGCCTAGAGAGAGAGAGAGAAGTTGTTTGAAGATTTTAAACAAATAAAGAACTTGAAGATCAAAATCTTCTATTCAGGGTTTCTCTTTCTCAAAAGAGGTTTTCATACTATCATGGATCAAGTTACGTATACACTTATTTTGTATAGTAGAAATTCATATAGTTTCATGTATAGAATTGAATCCTTAACAGCTTTTAGTTTATGTTCTGCAAAGTTTTCTATCATGTAGTCTAAAAAATCAGCGGAGATATTTTTCTTTATGCCTCTGGCTTGTGCTGTTTGTCTCAATTTTGTGGCTAATTTAGTAAACTTTTGTGCTAAAAATGTATTAGTTTATGCCTTCTAAAGTTATTAAGAACTTGAACTGACCTTAAATCTCAATTGTGCAGAATCGACACACATTTGAGAAGCCAGTGAGAATCTACAATTAGGAAATGGCAACTGAATCTCTGCCAGTGCTGCTAAATCTGATAACCCTCTGATGGAATATGACGCTTTGTGAAGAAGACACCAGCAGCAAAAAAACAGAAATAGAAAAAGCGAGCAGTGAGATATTGTGAGGTTTAGTTATCATTTTATTAAATGTGTAATCTTTTAATACGGGGTGGTAGAACATATGCGGCATATCCTCCATAGTTTGGACATGCCTCCCCCCTGCTCTCTCGCACATGTGCTTGCGCAAGAACCAGCGCGAGGGTGAGGTGCTTAGGTTTTTTATTCCATTGTAATTTAGGAATATATAAGATTTTGGGTTGGGCGATGTATAGTGTATAGGTATGTTTTTGGACATTTCCTTTCTTTTCCCTTTTCTTTCTGTCTGATTCTCCATTTCTAGTTTTATTTTGTGTGCATTACTAGTGGCGGATCTGTATAATGTTGTTTTTTGGTTACTATTTCTGGGTTTTTCCAGATTTGTGCAAAAGGAACTTGTATTTTCTTTGCTGTCCAATTGGTATCCAGCTGTTCTAATCCCTGAAGTTAATTGTTGAAAACGCTGCCTTCAATTGATAGGAAAAAAAAGGAAATAAAAGGACGAGACAATCTTTCTTTCCGTTGCAGCGAAAAAAAAGAAAGGACAAGACAATCTAAAAACTGTTCACCTTGTTTGGTTTTGATTAATTTTCTAAAAATTAAATTTTTTTTTTCATATATATTTTTTTTTGTTTTTAGTAAAGTTTTAAAATAATTGAAGTGATTTGTTTTTTTTTAATTTTAACTTTTAGATACACTTAATGTAGATGTACTTAAAAAAAATATTTGTAAAAAAATATTTTAAAAAATTAATAAATATAAAAAATTATGAAAATGTATTAAATTTCTATATATATTCTTTTATATTTCAGATTAGATCATTCGTGCTAGTTATTTATTTGTAAGATTATAAACAGCGAGCCTTCAATTTGCAAATTTTGTTAACACTCACCTTATCTTGTCTAGATTAATGTTGTAGTAGCTCATAAAATCTCAAATTTGTAACTATTAAACTATTAACTAAAAACTACCAAACCCATTACAAAATTAAAGCAAACCCACTTTCTCTCTCTAAAAACTATGAAACCCATCACAAAACTGAAATCAAAATCAAAATTAAACCCACCACCCACCTATCAAATACAAAAATCAAGCAAAATCAAACACAAAAATCAAACTCACCCACAAAAAATCAAACCCACCCACCGAGAGAGAGAGAGAGAGAAAGAGAGAGAGAGAGATCTTTCCAAGAGATACACACATAGATACAAGAGGGATCTTCCCCCTCCATCATCATCAACACACACATACACAAGAGATACACACACACATAGAGATCTTCCCCTCCCTATTCTCTCTTCCTCTCTCTTTCTCTTTTCTCTCTCTGTTTTCAGCGATATAAGAGGGAAAGGAAAATAAAAAAATAAAAAATACCTAAAATGACGTCGTTTTGAGTATTCGAGCCAATTCGGGCCACGAGTTTCTCGAGCTACCAAGGATTATTCTTTTTTTTGGGAAAAATTCTCTACAAATAAGTTTTCAAAAGTAATCAAACCAAACAAATTTTTCCAAATTTTTTTTCTAAAACTTGTTTGGTTTGCAAGTTTTCCAAACAAATCTCTCTCTCATACACATCAAATCAATCACTTTTTCCAAAACTCTCTCTCAAAATAATTTTTCAAAACATCTTTTGAAAAAAAACCAAACCAAACAAATTTTCGTACTTTTTATCTCAAAACATGTTTCTCAAATACAAACCAAACAAATCCATAGGTGTATATAAAAATTTTAAAAATTGTTCACAATATTAAAAAAGTTCAATAAAACTATGGAAAATACAAAATTTAATTTTTTTAAAAGTGGGTTTAATTTTGGGGAATGCACCAATAAATCTCAAATCTTTATCTTATGACCCATTTGGTCTTATATTTTATCTTATGATTCAATTAGTCTCAAGCTAATGTTAATGACAAAATAACCAGTGTTACACTATGTTTTGCGCTTTTTAGTAAGAGTAAATAAGGAAAACCCCAACGTGGTATTGACGGAAATGCCCAAAACTCTGTAGATGTTTGTTTTTCCTCCAAACACATCGTTACGCCGATGTTAATGGCCTTTTTTTTGGGTTGGTGTTCATCACCATCAACAACATCAACTACATCACCAACATCACTAAAAAAACATCATCAAAAATCATCAATATCATAAAAACATCATCAAACATTGTCAACTACATCACCAGCATCACTAAAAAAACATCATAAAAAATCATCAATATCATAAAAACATCATCAAACATCGTCAACTACATCACCAACATCACTAAAAAAAATCATAAAAAATCATCAATATCATAAAAACATCATCAAACATCGTCAACTACATCACCAACATCACTAAAAAACCATCATCAAAAATCAGCAACATCATAAAAACATCATCAAACATCAACAAAACATCAACAACATCAAACTTTAAAAAAACATCATCAAACATCGAACATCACCAACATTAATCATCAACATGTGAACATCAAACATTCTGGTCCAACAACATCAACAAAAAATTTGAATTTTAGGGCCTAATCGTATAACACAGTGATGTTCTTCAGACTTCCATTTTTCAGATCGCATCTCCACTATCAACAAAACCCCAATTTGATCATCTTCTCTGTCATTGATCGATTTCTCTGTTTCTTTCAATCTTTCAGTCATGGAGATTTATCATAGATAAAGAAAAAAAAAATTATATATATACATATACATATACATTTACATAGAGAGAGAACTTAGAAAAGAGGGATTTCGATCTCAAAAAGAGGCCAAGGCATCGTCGCGATCGAAGGCACGCAGAGAGAAATCTTCACAATGTTTGATCGTATCGGATCTAAAACCTTTCCAATCCCCATTCCTAGACCTCCCAAATTGCATAACCCAAAACCTCCCAGAGCTTCCATCAATGGCGAGCCTACCACCTCCCCCCAAACCCCCAAACCCAATTGCCGAGGCCGCAAGAAAAACCCCACAACTTCCCACACTCAATCTTCATCGAAACCAAAACGAACCCGAAAAACCCAGTCCCAGAACGGCACAATTGAAGCAAATGGAACCATAGAATCAACAAACGATGTTGAAGACGAAGACTATGATGATGGGATTGACTTTCCATACGAAGACCCGCCATTGATATGCTGCTTCGGAGCAGCAAACATCCCAAAAAGGGGTACAACACAACTCTCTGCAACACCTTTGAATCAATGAATCTATCTAGTTGCAGAGAGAGAGAAAGAGAGAGAGAGAGAGAGAGAGAAATCACACCCTCAAAAGGGTATTGATGTAAAAATAAATGGAATCAAATCACACCCTCAATAATCTGGCAATACATTAGGACTAAATGGTATACAAAAAAACTTAAAGGACTAAATGGTTTAACTTTTTCCAGGATAGGATTTATGGATAATTTTTCCTTTAATTTTCTGAAACTAAAAAGTAGTTTGGTTTGATTACTCTTGAAAATTTGTTTGTAGAGAATTTTTGATTTTTTTCGGAAAAATTTGTCTATGAGATTTTTTTTAGAAAAATTTGTTTGGTTTGATTACTCTTGAAAATTTGTTTGTAGAGAATTTTTCTCAAAAATTTTTCTGAAAAACAAACCAAACAAGTGCTCAATTTTTTGAAATCAAAAAACTCGTGGATGTGTTTTTTTGTTAAAAATATGGATTAATTACATTGGTCACCAGTATACTGCACCTGAAATCCCACTACAGGAAAAATGAGTTTTGGCGACGTTTATTTAACGGCGTTTTATAAAACGTCACATTTTATAACATTTAACGACGTTTCTTAAACGTCGCTGTTTTAAAAAATAAAAACGACACCGTTTCACGCGTTTAAAAGCGCCTTCGATTGTCCTCTCTCTCTCTCTCTCCCTTAAATGGGCAACCCTCTGAATCCCTAATCTCTCTCACTCGCTCAGTTCATAGCCCTAATCTCTTACTCACTCAGTCTCTCGTTTGCTCTCTCTATTTCTCTAAACCCTCTCAATGGATCGATTCATCTCTCGCTGATTCAGCTCAGAATGATACAATCTCGTTGATTAATCTTGGCGGTTTCGATTTTGATTTTGATTTCGAAGTTCTCTCTCGATTTTGATTTCAGGATTTATGTCTCGGTGATTCTCTCTCTCAATTTCAAAGTCTATTTTGAATATGAGAATAATTGTTAAAGCCCTTTGTAAACCCTTATTTGGAATCCTCATGCCTTCAAATCTCGTCTCTCTCAACCTTCTCTAAACCGTTATCATTCTCACAGATTCATCTTTGAGATTCAGAGCGAATTCGATTTCGAAGCTCCATCGCCACCACCGTCTGCACCGGCTCGATTTCTCAGATTTTGATTTCGAAGCTCCACTCCCACCACCATCTGCACCAGCGAGGTATCAATTTCTCTATCTCTCTCAAGCTCTTCCTTCCCGTCTCTCTCGATCTGGTTATTGAAATTGAAATTCTAAACAAGAAACTACAAGTTGATTTGTGGCTGAACACATCATTTTCTTCTTTTCTTTACTCTCTGCTTCGTTGAACTAGATTTAAAGTCTTTGCTTCAAGTCTGTATGTGTGTGTGTGTGTGTGTGAGTGAGAGAGAGAGAGAGAGAGGATGAGGATGAGGATGAGGAGGAGGAGAAGGAGTTGATTTGTGTCTGAAGGCATCCTTTCCTGATCTGTTATGTTGAAAAAGTTGAAAGATCTCTGAATATATACAGTTAAGGTCCTTCAATGCTTAAGTTTTCATTTTTTCATTATATAATATGTACATATATATATATATTTGGGTTGAAGTATTTATATCATGGGATCGATAAAGACCTTTGGGTTCATTGATCAGGTTTCTGGTTCTTCTTCTTTTTTTTTGAAATTTATTCAGAAAACAAATTCTGAAAACCAAACCAATTTTGTTTTGTTTCCACCTCCCCCTCTGTATGCCAAGTGTTTGTTGCTGCAGTAATTATGTATACTGATTGTCTAGACTGGAGTTTTATATGTTAGAACTGAATTTTACATTATATACTTGGTTCCAATCACAGTGCACCAGTGCATGTTTAAGAGGTGCCTGCCCATGAATACTGTTGACTTTTGTCACACGATGGGCATGTTCCATTTTGAATGGAACACAGAGAATGACCAAAATAGAGTGATTCTAAGAGTGCCAAGCAACTTTTTATTCTTTTATTTTTTATGTACAATGTCACATTTGTTTCTTTTGGACTGATTATACATTTTGGTTTCCCCTCTAGAATGGAGTTGATCCTATGGATAGAAACATGGAAAAGCCAAAAACTTTGGATGATGTAACTGATAAAACCAAACCCTGGCAGTTGGCCGAAATTATAGATCCTGCTCAATGCCGGCAGGTTACCATGCCAGACAACATGGATGCAGTCAACAAGGTGTATTCCTACTCATTTGTTGCTGCAAAATCTATCTATTGGATTATGCTCGACTGACACATCTACATCCAGGTTGCTTGACTACTCTATACAAATTCCGGTTTTGGTGTTTTGGCACTTGGGTCTAATGGGATTCAGAAGTTATGGAAGTGGACACGCAGTGAACAAAAACATCTATCAGAATGTATTGGCCGAGGAGAGATTCAAACGAATTATTGATACATTATCAAATTCTGATTCCACATATTCTGTAAGTTTTTTTGTCCTGGAAGCATAGAATTCTAGTTTGAAGTTGTACAGCCGTAATTAATTTCATCCTAAACCTTATTTATGAGTATTGGTGGTCCATGACACTAGGTTCTCTGCTGTTAGTCATATGGATTTGGATTCTGGGTTCCTATCACTAGAGAACTTCAAAGCTGCCCTTTCAAGTATCCAAAGGCAGCCAAAGGTGGAATGTTTAAAAGGTATGGGTATTTTATTAGATTTTTTTTGACCTTTCATATGCATTTTTTTGCTTTTACGATTCTCATTATTCTAAATTCTAGTCCTCGCAAAGTAGTCCACTAAATTCTAGTGAGTAGGCGAGTAGTAAATAGAAACCAATTTTATTGAAGGTTTTTTTTTTTTTTGTTTTTTGGTTCAACAGGTTAATGCTGTTGCCCCAAGGTTCATTGCATCTGATATGACTGCTAAGCTTGGGGGAGACATTGAGAAGAAAATCTTGGAAACCATCCCCTTGAAACTCATTTTGAATCGTTTAACATGACTCGAATTGTGAATCATGCGATTCACCATCGATTCTGTCCCAAAATAGATTCACATCGATCTATGCATGAATCATGAATTGAATCGTGAATCAAATCACGAATTGTAAGATATTGATAAGATAGGTACTATTTTCAACCACCATTTTACCTCTTAATTAATGGGAACAGTAGGCCGTTATTGCATAGACTTTTGTTTTGTGGAAGTTCAGTTTTTTAGTGGATCTAGAGTTGACTACGATGCTACTGGACACTCATGTACTACTATGCTTTACAGTGCCGATGGAAGTAGGTAAGGTTATTGAAATTAAAGATATCAAACATGATGTAGGTTGGTTCCTTGATCATTTTCTTGTACCCCTGCTCTTTTTGTGTTTTTGAATCTCTTGATGAAATATAGCTGGTCAAATCCTGTTAATCATTCAGCCTCTTGTCTTCATTCCTTATCCTTTCTTTCAGATTGTTCTCTTGTGGAACGGGTAAAGATGGGGATTCTTTCCTTGTTGAATGGAATGAAAGTGAAGGAGCAATAAAGAGGACATACTCTGGGTTCAGAAAGAAATATGTTGGTGTTGTGCAGTTTGACACAACTCAAAACCACTTTTTGGCCGTGGGTGAAGATCAGCAAATAAAGTTTTGGAACATGGACAATAATGACATTCTCACTTGTATGGATGCAGAGGGTGGACTTCCGGTCAGTGTAATCTTTATAGTTGTTTTGGGAAACACCCAGCTTGTTTGAATTCAGCTCTTACTTTATGACATTTTTTTGCCTTAAAAGAGTCTTCCTCGCTTGAGATTCAACAAGGAAGGAAATCTTCTCGCTGTTACTACAGCAGACAATGGAATAAAGATACTCGCTACCACTGCTGGTCTTAGATCTTTAAGAGTAGTTGAAGCCCCGTCCTTTGAAGCATTGAGATCACCTATTGAATCTGCTGCAATTAAGGTCCTTCAATGCTTAAGTTTTCATTTTTTTATTATATAATATTTACATATATATATTTGGGTTGAAGTATTTATATCATGGGATCGATAAAGACCTTTGGGTTCATTGATCAGGTTTCTGGTTTTCTTTTTTTTTTTTTGAAATTTATTCAGAAAACAAATTCTGAAAACCAAACCAATTTTGTTTTGTTTCCACCTCCACCTTTGTATGCCAAATGTTTGTTGCTGCAGTAATTATGTATACTGATTGTCTAGACTGGAGTTTTATATGTTAGAACTGAATTTTACATTATATACTTGGTTCCAATCACAGTACACCAGTGCATGTTTAAAAGGTGCCTGCCCATGAATACTGTTGACTTTTGTCACACGATGGGCATGTTCCATTTTGAATGGAACATAGAGAATGACCAAAATAGAGTGATTCTAAGACTGCCAAGCAACTTTTTGTTCTTTTATTTTTTATGTACAATGTCACATTTGTTTCTTTTGGACTGATTATACATTTTGGTTTCCCCTCTAGAATGGAGTTGATCCTATGGATAGAAACATGGAAAAGCCAAAAACTTTGGATGATGTAACTGATAAAACCAAACCCTGGCAGTTGGCCGAAATTATAGATCCTGCTCAATGCCGGCAGGTTACCATGCCAGACAACATGGATGCAGTCAACAAGGTGTGTTCCTACTCATTTGTTGCTGCAAAATCTATCTATTGGATTATGCTCGACTGACACATCTACATCCAGGTTGCTTGACTACTCTATACAAATTCCGGTTTTGGTGTTTTGGCACTTGGGTCTAATGGGATTCAGAAGTTATGGAAGTGGACACGCAGTGAGCAAAATCCAGGTGGAAAGGTAATAGCAAGTTGTGAGTAATTTCATTTGCATGTTTTCCTGTTTCTTTTCTTTTATTAGTCGATATTTGTGGAGGAGAATTCTGAACTTGGTGAGGGTCTAAAGGCCACTGCCAATGTTGTTCCACAGCAATGGCAACCAAACAGTGGTCTTGTTATGACTAATGATGTCACAGGTGTCAACCTTGAGGAAGCAGTGCCTTGCATAGCACTCTCAAAGAATGACTCTTATGTAATGTCAGCCTGTGGCGGCAACGAACAATCTGGTTTGGGTTTCTTTTTAGGCTTGATTGGTTCAAGGACAAAGTTGAAACAGTATAAATGCTGAATTTGTTTCAACACCATGTCAAATCTGTGCACATGTTTAGCAAATATCCTTCTGTGTTATCCTTTTAATCACATTGCAGTTTGGTACTGTTGTGCCATATTAGAAAGAAATTTGTTTCAACACCGTGTTCACTTTAGTTTGTTTTTTTTATGCATATGTCATTGTCGATGGATTGGTTGGTTTGTAGCTTGGTCATCAAGATGAGAACAGTGAGATATATAAAAGCATAATGCTAAACTGTGTCAAGTATTTAAATAAATCTTTTTCTGTTGATCCTCATTATTTTTATTACTATTATTATTGTTATTATTATTAATTTTACTACCATGGTGCGCTACATTTGTATCTTTGAAATTATCTACTGATAGAAGAATTAGAGATTTTGTTCTTGGCTTCTCAAAATTATCTATTGATTGTAACTATGAATCTTTTAATTTTCTATTGTCAAATTTTATAAATTTGACCTTTAATAGAATTGTTCCCTTAGAAGATGAATTTAAGATCCTACATATTGTTATAAATTAATTTCTCTCTCTCTCTCTCACGTGTGTGCGCATGCCGTGGTGTGGCAATGAAGGGAGACATCCTGGAAGATCCAGCAAATGAGCCAAACAAAGATATGTACATGATGACTATTGAGCCAGAAGATGCACCCAACCAACCTGAGTAAGTTTGCTTGTTTGATGTGCATTTCAATTCCTTTAATTTAGTCAAATCTTGATTTATGCATTTGCTTCTTTGTTTTTTTCCCCCCATGTAGATATGTACAAATTGGGATGGTTTGCTTCTTGTTTCAGTCAATGGAAAGGAACTCTCCCCTGCATCTCTGCTTTCTGAGCTGAATGAAATTGGTGGGCATATTATTTTTTTTCTTTTCAAAAATCTGACTATGATGAGTTTTATTGATTGCATTGTGATCCAAGAACATGCATAAATGTCACCCCATGTATTGTACAATTGGGGGTAAGATCTTTCTCTTTTTGAAAATTTGTATAAAATTTCTCTCTCTCTCTCTCTCACACACACACACACACAAATTTTGTTATATGCCATTCCGATTTTTAATTGGCCAAGTATTGTGTAGAAAATCTTCGAGGAATCCATGAGAGAGATGAATTCCAAATTCCTTAACCATTATATTGTGTTTTTCAATATTTTGATGTCATGCTGATAAGTGTATATAGCAATAGGGGCGATGCATTGAGCGAGTCCTGTTGATGAGCCTTAAGCTTTCTCCACCCCTTTGTGTGTTTTGTTGTGTGGTTATGCACTCATGCTCCTTTTACATGTTTGGGGATGTGCTTTTCTTATAGTACTCGTGGTTGTTAATGTTATTGCCCAACAAAGAAAGTATTTGTATCAAATTGCAGCTTAAAGAAGCTATATACATCTCTTAAAATTATACCAGGAATTATGCCTGATAAGTATTGAAAATATGTGTCAAATATGGGAAACAATGGCAGTATAATTAGAGAGAGAATCAACAAGAAGAAAAATGAATGGTTTTGCCAATATAAAATGTAAGTTGCAGTCCTCAGGCATCAGTTGAGCTTGGAAGGATTTCTGTGTCTGTGCTCATCTTAGGTGCACCTTACCCTACCATACCTATGAAGAATAATCATCAAAGTAGATTCAAACCTCAAGCCTCAGGGTGTTACCTCATGTCTTGATTTCCGTCTTTTAATTCTTTATTATGGAATGCTTCCTTGTTTTCTTTCTTTATTAATATTTTTTAATTTTTATTTTATTTTAATAAAAATAAAATAAAATAGCTGCTAATTCTTTATTATGGAATGCTCATGTGGCTTTAGATGCAGAGCAGGGTACTTATGTGCCTCCAGCATTGGAGGAAGATGGCAATATGCTGAATATGTCCAAAAGCTTGAATTCCATTGAAGAACCTCGTGTTTGCAAGACTGCAGGCATATGTAGCTATGTATTTCAAATCATTTACCAGGTAAGCATTCTCTAACAATATATTAATGGGAACAGTAGGCCGTTATTGCTGTTAGAGATAGACTTTTGTTTTGTGGAAGTTCAGTTTTTTAGTGGATCTAGAGTTGACTACGATGCTACTGGACACTCATGTACTACTATGCTTTACAGTGCCGATGGAAGTAGGTAAGGTTATTGAAATTAAAGATATCAAACATGATGTAGGTTGGTTCCTTGATCATTTTCTTGTACCCCTGCTCTTTTTGTGTTTTTGAATCCCTTGATGAAATATAGCTGGTCAAATCCTGTTAATCATTCAGCCTCTTGTCTTCATTCCTTATCCTTTCTTTCAGATTGTTCTTTTGTGGAACGGGTAAAGATGGGGATTCTTTCCTTGTTGAATGGAATGAAAGTGAAGGAGCAATAAAGAGGACATACTCTGGGTTCAGAAAGAAATCTGTTGGTGTTGTGCAGTTTGACACAACTCAAAACCACTTTTTGGCCGTGGGTGAAGATCAGCAAATAAAGTTTTGGAGCATGGACAATAACGACATTCTCACTAGTATGGATGCAGAGGGTGGACTTCCGGTCAGTGTAATCTTTATAGTTGTTTTGGGAAACACCCAGCTTGTTTGAATTCAGCTCTTACTTTATGACATTTTTTTGCCTTAAAAGAGTCTTCCTCACTTGAGATTCAACAAGGAAGGAAATCTTCTTGCTATTACTACAGCAGACAATGGAATAAAGATACTCTCTACCATTGCTGGTCTTAGATCCTGCTCAATGCCGGCAGGTTACCATGCCAGACAACATGGATGCAGTCAACAAGGTGTGCTCCTACTCATTTGTTGCTGCAAAATCTATCTATTGGATTATGCTCGACTGACACATCTACATCCAGGTTGCTTGACTACTCTATACAAATTCCGGTTTTGGTGTTTTGGCACTTGGGTCTAATGGGATTCAGAAGTTATGGAAGTGGACACGCAGTGAACAAAATCCAGGTGGAAAGGTAATAGCAAGTTGGGAGTAATTTCATTTGCATGTTTTCCTGTTTCTTTTCTTTTATTAGTCGATATTTGTAGAGGAGAATTCTGAACTTGGTGAGGGTCTAAAGGCCACTGCCAATGTTGTTCCACAGCAATGGCAACCAAAGAGTGGTCTTGTTATGACTAATGATGTCACAGGTGTCAACCTTGAGGAAGCAGTGCTTTGCATAGCACTCTCAAAGAATGACTCTTATGTAATGTCAGCCTGTGGCGGCAACGAACAATCTGGTTTGGGTTTCTTTTTAGGCTTGATTGGTTCAAGGACAAAGTTGAAACAGTATAAATGCTGAATTTGTTTCAACACCATGTCAAATCTGTGCACATGTTTAGCAAATATCCTTCTGTGTCATCCTTTTAATCACATTGCAGTTTGGTACTGTTATGCCATATTAGAAAGAAATTTGTTTCAACCCCGTGTTCACTTTAGTTTGGTTGGTTTGTAGCTTGGTCATCAAATTGCAGCTTAAAGAAGCTATATACATCTCTTAAAATTATACCAGGAATTATGCCTGATAAGTATTGAAAATATGTGTCAAATATGGGAAACAATGGCAGTATAATTAGAGAGAGAATCAACAAGAAGAAAAATGAATGGTTTTGCCAATATAAAATGTAAGTTGCAGTCCTCAGGCATCAGTTGAGCTTGGAAGGATTTCTGTGTCTGTGCTCATCTTAGGTGCACCTTACCCTACCATACCTATGAAGAATAATCATCAAAGTAGCTTGCACTTGCAAAATAGGCATAACAGCAGCTGAGTAAAATCCAAATTAGAAAATTTTATGGTGTAAATAGACCTTGTGTTGTGGGAGATTAGCCCAAATGCATATAACTTGCAATTACACAAACTTCCTTTTAGAAAACTTTATGATTTGTTTTCTTGATGTATTCTTGCGGACGAATCACATATACCAAGCTAAGTCGGAGTATTGTTTATTTCTCAAGATCAAACATTAGATCATCTCTGTCTGGACTATCCTATATTCTGCTGGATTTTGTTTTAGAAGGTGCCTCTCGACTGGTCTTTAACCGGCCCGGAACATATTGGTAAGTTGTAGCCTCCTTATTAATCTAGTCCATCTTTGTTTCATCTACGATAAGAAAACGAAAACGACTAAAAAAACAACAGTGTTTTCAAACTTTTCATCTAAGGTACATACATCTTCCTTTATTCTTCTTGGAGGTTTGCAGGTGATTTCAGTGTCTGGTCCACCATCAAGATATGCTGAGAAGTGGCTAGAAGATCAGCATTATTCATCTTTTTGCCAGGTTAAATGTACTTGAATATTCACTTCCATGTTAGTGAATCAAATGTGACTTTATTCTCTTTTTTTCTTTTTTGTATCATAGGTTATATGCGTCTGACATTTATAGCAGTTCTCCAGTTTTTCAATATTTGAGGTTTATTTGATTCCTTCTTTAGACAAGTAGGAAAATCTATGCAATATCAAAGGGTGCTCAAAATTAATAGTTTAATTACTTAACATGTCCAAGCACATTGTATTGCGGAGGTAGTGGTTAATAGTCCAAATTAATAAATACAAGTGAGACCCATTGTTTTGTGTGTAACAGTAAAAAAATCTAGTGAAAAATCTGTTATGTAAAGAATTTCCTAAAAGATAAAAGAAGTATTTACCAAATGTAAACCTCATTGTATAATGATATCTTGACTTAAAAATTAGATAAATCCCTCATCTAGAAACATATTAAAACGACATTGACACATGCCATATCTGAGTCTATGTAACTTAGAACCAAGTTGCAAACGAGCAATTATGTGCACTTTTTGCAAACAATACATGATCGTATAGATGATTATGTTTTATTTGTTTCTAAAAGACTATAACTTTTGGCAGCAACAGCAGCAACAACATTTCAAATTTTAAGGAAATTGTGGGGTCTGAGGTAAATGGAATTTTGTACAAATATTAAGTATCTTTTGCTTGCTATATATTTTTTCCTACAAGTTTTTCTCATTTCTTCCATTGTATTCATTAAGGAGAACGATAAAAAGGATGAGACTGCCGCAGATTCTTCCTCAAAGAAGGAAGCATCTGGATATGGATATGTGGTTTATGGTGTTGGTCAGCATCAGTCTCGTGTAGAACCTAACCTTGAACCCCAGGTGCTAATTCTTTTATGCTAAACATTGAACATAATAATTATAGATCATTGGACATGTTTTGGATATGATATATGACCTCTCAGTTTTTTATTTTCAGGTCTTATTTGTTTATCCTCCTGAAAAACAGCTGCCACTTAAGTGTAAGGATCTTCTTTCATTCAGCTTTCCTGGAGGTGTGGAGATTAGTTGGATATGAGATTTATTTGTTAATGAGTTCATTTACTCTGAATAAATACTCGTGAACACATGGATGGGCACATAGAAGTCACAGATGAGGTTTGATGTCACTCACATATCTCCATTTCATCATAATTAGAGGATTGTGACCATCTTGATGCATCATTTCTTGCAGAGCACTTGAAGACTTAAAATGATTTATTTGTTAAGAAAGTAAACCTTGGAAGTTCTGAGAGATACTCGTGAACACATGGATGGGCACATAGAAGTCACAGATGAGGTTTGATGTCACTCACATATCTCCATTTCATCATAATTAGAGGATTGTGACCATCTTGATGCATCATTTCTTGCAGAGCACTTGAAGACTTAAAATGATTGTGACCATCTTGATGCATCATTTCTTGCAGAGCACTTGAAGACTTAAAATGATTTATTTGTTAAGAAAGCAAACCTTGGAAGTTCTGAGAGATACTCGTGAACACATGGATGGGCACATAGAAGTCACAGATGAGGTTTGATGTCACTCACATATCTCCATTTCATCATAATTAGAGGATTGTGACCATCTTGATGCATCATTTCTTGCAGAGCACTTGAAGACTTAAAATGATTGCACGAAGTTAGTTATCAATTATCTGCTATATTATCATATTTTCTGATGTTTTGGCATTTGATAATGTTCACATAATTATGCTAATTAGGGTTATGCATTTTCTAGTTCTTAATTGTATTATCTGTTTGTGGGTCCGAATTCTTTTCCTTTTCTCTTATTGTAACTAGTACATGGCTATAGATGTGCACATTTCAACTTTTGTAGAATTAAAAATGTCCTTTTGTTTACTCTCAAAGGAGATTTGCCCAACATTATGTAGCCTTTTTGTTTATAAATTTTCCATCATTCAATATGGAAATGATTTTTGGAGTTTTAAATGTTGGTTCATGTGATTTCAGGTTCATGCTACTGAAAAAACTTCTTCAACATCGAGTTGAATGAAATACTTTTTGGGCAGGTATCCTAAAGCTTCCCCAATCATATTATTAGACATTCTTGTTATCATCCTCATCATCACCTTCATCATCTAGTGAAGTGAACAGATAAAAGCTAATGTTTAATTTATCTTACCTTCTTAACGAAACTGGATGATGAAGGTGATGATGGGAAGCAACGTAGAAAGCGATTCAGAATGACAATGAAGGATGGATAGGGGCTTTCCTTTGGATTCTTATTTCTCTTCTTTTTTCTTTTTTCTTTTTTCTTTTTTTCCTTTGATCTGATTGGGGAGTTGGGTGTTTTGGTTCACTTTCTTCTTATTTTTTGTGTTAAATGGGGGAGGGAGTGGTGAGAGAGAGAGAGAGAGAGAAGAGAGTAATATTATTTTGTGGCTTTGTATACAAAGTAGTAATTAATTTTTTGGTAGAGAATTGTGAATACAATTTTTGGGGGTAATATTAAAATATCATTTGTGGATATGTTATTTTGTGGGTAATGGTGATTGGTGAATGGGAAAGTGAATTAATGATGCATTTGTTATTTGAATGTAAGTTGTTATTTCATATTAGTGTTATTCAGTTTTATTATATGTATTTTTTTAGTTTTTAGTTTAATCACATAAATTAGCACAATTTTAAAAAAATAAAAATATAAAAAGGAGATATCATGGCGTTTTTTAAAAAACGCCACTTTAAACCTTAAATATTAGATTTTTTAAAAAAGATACGACGGCGTTTAAAAAATGTCGCAAAATATCATAATGGCGCCATGATATTGTCAAGTAAGACATTTAGCGGCGTTTTTAAAAACGCCGCCTATACTAATATAACGACGTTTTTAAAACGTCATAAAGTTATAGCGACGGCCGCGTCCTCGGCGCTTGGTGCTAAGCGTCGCAAAAAGAATTAGCGGCGTTTTTGACACTTATAGCGGCGTTTTTTAAACGCCGTTAAAAGCTGAATTTCCTGGAGTGTCCCACTTCATCCCCTCTATTTTTTATTTTATGTTTTTTGGACAGGCAATTTGCTACACTTCTAATCAGTGCGTCTCCTGTAAGATTCTGTTAACAATCTAATTGTGTGTTTAATTGTTTATTTTAATTAGCATTTTTACATTAAAATTTCATTTAATACTTACAGCAAGCATTGAATTTTTCTCAAATTTAAATTTCAATATGAGAGAATTTGATGCGCCTATTGACCCAACACGGATCCTATTTTGATTATTCGAATTATTTATTTTGTAAAATTCATAATATATATCATGAATGAAAAAAATTAAATTGATTTAATAATTATCGTAATTTTGTAAGGCTAAACTACCAATAGGTCCTAATAGTTTGACTTAATTCTCATAAAGTCTTATTGAAAATAAGTCTTGATAAAATTGTCTAAAAAAATTATTTTTTTGTGATAATTTTTTACATACGTCACTAAAAATTGACAATTAGTGACCCTTTTTGTCATGATTTTTATAAATTGTCACTAAAATTTACAATTAGTGACCTTTTTCTATGACAAAATTTTCTCATAGGACCTATTAGATAATAAGTCCACTTATTAGGACCTATATGCAAGTATCCCTTATTGAAAAACTAAAAATCTGTTATTTGACTGAACTTAGTACTGATGGTTCCTTGAGCGCATTCTTGGTTCTTAACATATATCATCAATGGAAAAAATTAAATCAATTCGATAAATATAATATTTTTATTTTATGATATTTGTCTTTAAAAAAATAAACAATACGATAAAATTAAAATGTTACGATTATCAAATCAAGTTAATTTTTTTTACTAATTTATTTATCATCTTAATCTTTGAACTTTCTTTAATGATAAATTATTATTCATAATATATTTTATTATTTATAATTTTTGTAAATTTTTTTTTTCAAGTTAAAAAATTAACACGCTCTTGCTTCCAATACCAATCTGATTTTTCTTGCTTCCAATATGATACTGGGCGGGGGACTACAAACTTTCATATTGTCATCCTTAAAAAAGAGGTCATGTAGACACCCCATTTTTGACCGACCTTAAGACTCAGACGTCACCGATTGAGCGCTTGGTGATGTTGCATAATGTGCTTGTTCAAAAGCTTCAGAGTCACGGCCGTGAGCCCTGCCTCCGGACTTCCGAACCCTCTTCTGTGCCTTGTCTCGGTTTGCGAACCAGACTCGGCTTTCTCTGTTTCTTTTCCTGAGGGGAGAGAGAGGTCCCGTAGACCATCTCCCAATGTTCGTAGGCTACATTTGGTGGCCGTAGGCCATTTTTCCCATTTCGGAGTCCGGTTTCCGATTTTCGGAGCCGTCAGGCCGTGTGCCTCGGTTCGGGACCACTTAACCATCTCCTATTGCTCCGGTTTTTGGCATACTTCCTATTTTCTCCCTTTTGAGGGACACTGGGGTCTGAGAAACCCACTTCGTGGCCGAATGCCACTTTCGGTGCTTAACAGCCCATTTTCGGGACC